CTGCTACTGCTGCTGCTGCTGACGCTGCTGCTGCTAGCTGCTGCTGCTGCTGCTGCTGCTACTACTACTACTACTATTACAACAGTCCCACAACCGCCACCAGCGCCGCCCCCCGCCACCGCCACGACGACGACTATTGCTACAACGACTGCTATCAGCATTGCTACCACCAATGTTATCACTAACTGGTACACTGCGACCGCCATCACATCCACTTTTTCTGCGGTTTTTTCCCCGAGGGCGACAGCTTCGGCGCGCGGTGCCTGCTCTCCGAGGGTCCCGCCTTCCTCACTCGTGCGCGGGCGCTGAGGCCCGAGAATGCCCCATGGCTTTGAAAGCTTGGTCAGGGAGCCCTTAGCACATCTCTGGGACTTTCCCTTTCGTTTCTGACTGGGAGCTGAAGGAGTTTGAGTTCTTCTCGGAGTTGTCGAGGAATGTCTACGCCTCTGTAAATCCTTGGGCTGTTCATGGAGTACTGTACCTCGAAGGTCTCTTTCGGAGCTCCACCTTTCTCCGTTAGTTGGGTCTTAGAGTTGTCGTAGCGATGTCGCTACATGAAGGCGGCCTCCAACACAGTCGTAGCATGTCGTAGCCAGGCCGCAGATTCAATCAAGTGTCGCGTATTCCTGTCCGGCTTAGGGGTTGGCTGTGTGAAAACCGCGAAGAAACTCAAGACATCCGAATTCCCAAACCGCTTCCCATGCAGAAAGCTTGAGACTGCTCTTTGGCAATGCTGTGTCGCCCTGCAGTTTAGCTTCCTCCAGTCCTCGTTGCAAGTTGCAAGGGTTGAGTGTCCCGTGCCCCATGCCCGTGCGGAAGTCAGGTGCCCCTTCTGCGCCGGAAGCGCTTCCACCGGGCCTTTGCGAAGCACCGTGAACTCATCCGCGCAGCTGCTGATGGTGCTGTCCGGGACAGCAAAGGCCATGAGCCAGAGGCCAGATATCAATTTCATACCGTGGCGACGACGGTCGTGGTTGGAGTTCAGGGTGCAAAGTGATACATGACAGACTGAAATGCTGGACCATAACAGACAGAGACAGGCTGAGACTGGCAGACAGACCGACCCCTCCTGACGGACCGACAGACTGACCAATTGCTATCTCTGAAAGTATTCTGGCAAGGTTTGAAGGGTGACTTCAGCACGCAACTGAGCTTCCCGCTGCTACCAGCTGTGCTGGAAACTGCCGCGCTGGAAGCCGAAGCTGCGTTAGGCTAAAGCACAGGTGGAGCCAAGTTGTTGACAGAAGATTCAGTTTAGTACATGCGGTTTTTACTATGTATATTTATTCGGATAAATGCCCTTAACCTGATGCTTATTTCCTGAAGTTTCCACCCTTGGCGATCTGTTCGACCTTGGCCGGGAGCCCTCGGTTTTGAGCAGGTGTTCTGGAAGCTGGCCAGCTGGTTGGTGATCATGGATGCCTGGTTCGAAAACCTGCCGCTGGCGCCCAACCGTGACCAGCAGCTTCTTTCGTCGTTGCAAAGTCAAGCCATGTCAAGCCCGAAACCCCCAAACTCCTAAGCCTTCTAAACCCCCTGAAAACCTAAACCTACGAGCCTAAGTCCCACTGGGGCCTTATGTCCACAGGTGGCCAGCCTGTCTGCGCTGCGTGAGTCACTGGTGACCCACATAGCGCCGCTGACGGCTTGGCTTCTGGGCTCGCAGCATTCCTGTAACTCTTTCATGCTCTATCCGTATGTATAGATGGATATAGATATAGAGATATATATATATATGTATATACATACATAGTGCTCTCAGGGTTAAACAGGGGCTTGCAACGAAATGGAGCCTGTTCTCCCTCCTAGTGATCCGAGCCAAGGCTGGTTCGGCCCCACCGCGGCCCCCTACTGGGTCGAGCCATGCCGCCGCCAGATCCTCCGGATGCGGCTCCTTGCAGACTTCGATTGAAATGACTTAGGACTTAGGGCCTAGGATCTGGAGGAGTAGAGTCAGACGGATCTCTGAAGTGGCCCAGGTTCTGAAGGACCAGGAGAAGGTGCTCCGAAGCTTCAGCTTTGCGCAGGAAGGCGATGCCGAAGCACCGAAGCCGGTGATAGAGGTGACGCCGCCACAGAGAGAGCCGAGACCGAAGGCGGTGACGACGGAAGCCGTCCCGTTCCTGGTAGGGCGCTGGCTGAAGGAGAACTCGACCTTGGACTACGAAGAGATTTGTGCACACACAGTGGTGGAGACTGACAGATCCAGCGAGGTTCGAATGGATGAGATCTTTGGCGGGGACTCCGGCACCCTGGCGTACTCCAGCGATGAGGAGGATGTGGACATGTGCCCTTCGCCGCGCACTCTCTGACAAAAGTGTGACGAATTTGTGGTCCCTCACCTGAAGGGCTTTGCGCGTAATATCGCGTGTACTCCCTATTCGCATGTCGTCGCACAGTGTGAGCTCGCTCTTACAGGTCTGTGTTGGCTGGCCTTGCCAAGACGGCAGGCTAGACTAGGCCAGAGGATGGTGTCTGCGAGCTTTCCAAAAAGGTGGTGATCGTAATTCTGTTCCCTCCCTCATTCTGCTTCTGGGAAGGTCTGTCGATGTCTGTCGAGGAGGAGCCCTGTTCAACCTATCCTGAGCCATCTGGAGGACCAATGGCAGCGTAGACAGCCCGACACCTAAGTACGCAACCCTCGCATACGGGGTCAAATGCTGGAGAGGACAGCTATGGGGTTCGCCCCTCAATCCGACACTTCAACCCCAAAGCTCTTAAATCTAGACTCTGTAGACTGGTAGACTTCGTACGCATCTCTAAACCGTAGGCTAGACGCTTTGGGAGCCTGCTCCATGGGCAGCGGCGCTCGAGCCCTTTTTCCCCTCTGGGAGGCCTCGAGTTCGCGCTTGCGAGCACTTTCTAGGATTCTGGGCCCTCTCCCGGAGTCCAGTCCAAAGCCTGGTAGGTGGAGCCGCGGAAAGCCAAATGCAGGCCTGGCTCGGCATAGTCTTGATGTCTCGGAAAAGGCTCTTCTTCTGACCTGGGTGTGGTTCTTTGAATCCGACAGAAGCAGTGCAAGTTGCGTTTTGGCTGCACTGCGTTGAGACAGCACTGAATCGCGCGTCCGTGTTTTCAGCTTTGCCGCCGAAGCGTCTTCGCGTCCAACAGCGAAGCCCCCAAAGCTTGGAAGGCACAGCGGCCCAGACCGACCAAGGCACCGGAAGGGCTCAGGGGCGGTTCTTCGTCTGATGGCCTGACACCCCCAAAGAAAGCCGAAGACCTCCAATTTGACGTGGAAGTCGCAGGCTCCGGCGGCCGCTGGCTCAGCGGTTGTCGAGCTTTTGATGTGAGGGCGTCAGATCTCAGATGCCACGGCAATTCCTGACCTATCTGTTGGATCAGATGCAAAGTGTCTGAGAGG